AAATAGGAGCCGGAATAGGCTGTTTGGCCCTTTGAACCTGCTCCAATATTCAATGTGATTATGGCTGATCATGTAACTTAGCACCTTTTCCTGCTTTTTCCCCATATCCTTTGATCTCTCTGGCCCTAAGAACTATATCTAACTCCCTCTTAAAAACTTGTTCCAGCAATTGTACTGAACACTTATTTTCCAGAAACTGCCTTGTCCCCCTAGCCAAGCTGTTCCAGTAAAATTAAAGTCATAGAGTCATAGAGATGTACAGCATGGAAATAGGCCCTTTGGTCCAGCTCTTCCTTGCTGAACAGATGTCCTAAATTAATCTAGTCCCATTTGCTAGCATTTGGCCCATATCTCTCTAAACACTTCTTATTTATATACCCATCACGATGCCTTTAAAATGTTGTAATTGTGCCCACCTCCACCACTTCCTCTGGCAGCTCATTCCATACATGCACCACCATCTGCGTGAAAAAGTTGCCCCTTAGGTCCCTTTTAAATCTTTCCCCTCTCACCGTAAACCTATGCCCTCTAGTTTTGGACAAACCCAACTTGGGGAAAAGACCTTGGCTATTTACTCTGTCCATGCCCCTCGTGATTTTATAAAATTTTATAAGGTCACCCCTCAGCCTCCGTCACTCCAGGGAACATAGTCCCAGCCTATTCAGCCTCTCACTATAGCTCAAACCCTCCTACCCTGGTAACATCCTTGTAAATCCTTTCTGAACCCTTCAAAGTTTCACAACATTCTTCCTATAGCAGGGAGACCAGAATTGCATACAACACTGACAAATTTCCTAAGCATGGCCAGTGCGCAAGTAGCAGAACAAATCCAACCTGACCAATTACTGAGCCAATGGACTATTCTCAACCATCAGGAAAAGTGATGGAAGCAGTCATCGACAGCATTATCAAGAAATACTTGCAAAGGAATAATCTGTTCACTGACACTTAAGTTTAAATTCTGCCAGGGTCACTCAGCTCCTGAGCTCATTGCAACATTGGTCCAAATATGAACAAAGAGCTGAATTCCAGAGGTGAAGTAAGAGTGACAGCAAGGCAGAATTTGACCAAGTTTGGCATCAAGGTGTTCTAGCAAAGTTGGAGTCAATAGGAACATGGGGATAATTTCCACTAGTCTGAGTAATACCTAGCACAAGGGATCATCTCAGTCCCAGGTAGTCACTGCAGTTGTACCTCAGAGTGGTGTCGTAGGCCTAACCATCTTCATCTGCTTCACCAATGACCTTCCCTCCATCATAAGGTCAGAAGTGGGGATGTTCACTGATGATTGCACAATTTTCAGCACCATTCATGACTTCTCAGATACTGAAGCATATGGTGTCCATTTGTAGCAAGATCTGGACGACACTCAGGCTTGGGCTGATAGCAGCAAGTAACATTTGTGCCACACAAGTACCAGATATTGACCATCACCAATAACAGAGAATCTAACCATCACCCCTTGTCGTTCAATGGCATTACCATCACTGAATTTCCCAACTCTCAACAAAGAATTTAAACTAAACTTTCTCTATATGGTAAAAGCTAAAGTAAGGATAGATATATTTACAGCTAATGTATAAACTTTCTAAAGACTTGTTCTCTAGGTGCAGTCTGTTTCCTTTGCTGATAGCTGTAGTATGTGAGTCTTGTGCTAAATTCACCTGCAAATAAGCAAAAGAGATCTGTAACTAAATGAGTGATGAGATGTCCCAGTGTCTTTAAAATGACTAGGCGTTACCTTAGATTAAGCAGTTACGCTGGTTTTAGAAACAACTGCCTCAATGCCACAATAGCAAAGCAATAGTACTTCAGAGCATTGCCGTTCTAATGATGTTTGACTGGTCAACTTGACTGAGGCTGTAAATATATTTATCCTTACTTTAGCTTTTACCATATAGAGAAAGTTTAGTTCCCAATATTGAAATATTTCACGCTAATTGCGAAGAATCCTTGACATTGGTAGTTGTATCCAGAGATTTCAGTCATCCATTTTATATCCTTTAGCAGTTTATTTAGAGACTATTCCTCAGTAGTCTGCCTTGTTATCCGTAGACCCTAATACCCTTCTTCATCCCTGCCCTGTCCCTCTTCCTCCTCCAAGTCTCCAAGGGCTCATGGTGGGGGGCTCAGTGGTTTGAATACAAAAAGATTCAGAAATAGGGCAAAAGAAAAAGCTCCTTCCAAATTTACAGTTCTGCAATAATCAATGCTCACTTACACATGCATTAAAATACAATAAGCTTTGAAGAGTATCTCATTTACTTTAATGAGCCTTTCACTGACCAGCTGCGACAACTTTTCTTTAAGAAATTACAGTGTGGTTCTGTATGCACAAAAAGTCCCTATTTAAATAAAGTAGTTCCATAAGGCAGTCGGATGCCCAGACTGTTGGGGCCCTAACTGTAATCAAAATGGCAGCTGAGCCAAAGGAGGCACAAAAAGGTGATAAAATTGAACCACTATTTTCAGTTTCAGGTGAAACAGAAGAAAATTGACCCCTATACGTCTACTTTAAGGAAAAACATATTAAAGCAGTCAAAGTGATAGAACTTTATAATAAGCAAATAAGAAATGACTAGAATCACCTAGCTTGAGGAAACTTCAGTTCTTATTAAATCAGTACTATTTTTCCTTTTTATAAACCTTAATAAATTACTGGTCTATATTTAGTTAAATGGTTTGGAGAGATGCCAGTTCTTAAAGAAGAAAGAATCTTATAGGGGTCCGACAAAATGGATTGTGGTGGAAAATGATTTCCATCATAGCTTTGGTGGGAATCGCTTAAAAAGCCCAGTGAGGCCTGTCTTGACATCGGTAGCAACTTGCTGCATCTTCTAACCAAAGGTCCGGGTATCATGTGTCTGTCTAAATGCCTCTTAAACTTTCCTATCGCATCTGCTCCTACCACCTTTCCTGGCAGCATGCTCCAGGCACCTCTGCGTAAAAAAACTTTTCTTACACATCTTCTTTAAACTTCCCCCCCCATACCTTTAACCTACGTCCCCTAGTATTTGACATTTCCACCCTGGGAAAAAGACTCTGACTATCCACCCTATTCATGTCCCTCATAATTTTACAGCAGGTTGCCCATCAGCCTTCAAAGCTGTAGTGAAAGCAATCCAAGTTTGTTCAACCCTCTCCTTACAGTGAATATGCTCCAATCCAGGCAACATGATGGTAAACCTCTTCTGCGCCCTGTCAAAAACCTCCATATCCTTCCTATAATGCAGCGACCAGAACTGCACACAGCACTCCAAATATAGCCTGACCAAAGTCTTATGCAGTTGCAGCATGACTTGCCAACTTTCATACTCAATGTCCTGACTGATGGAGGCAAGCATGCCATATGCCTTCTTTACCAACTTACACATTTGTGTTGCAACTTTCAGGGAGCTATGGACTTGGATCCCCAAATCCCTCTGTATATCGATGCTCCGAAGGGGTTGGCCATTTACAGTATACTTTACTCTTGCATTTGACCTACCAAAATGCTTCACCTCACACTTGTCCAGATTAAATGGAATGTAGGGCTTTAGGTAGGAAGTTGGAAAGTGGAATTTCCAGGGTTGTAATCTCAGGATTACTCCCTGTGCCACATGCCAGTGAGCCAGAATAGGACGATAATACAGTTGAATGCATGGTAAAAGAGCTGATGTAGGATAGTGGCTGCCTTCAGATGGTTATAGTTAGACTGGTGAAATGGGCAAGCACATGGCAAGTGCAGTTTAATGTAGATACCTGTGGAGTGACATATTTTTGGAGAAACAACATGCAGGTGCCCTCTGATCTAAATGGGTCTTTTTGGGTATGAAGGTTGCAGGACCTTTGGGATCTGGGCTGCATATTCACAAATCATCGAAGATTCCAGGACAAATCAATAATGAAGTGCATAGGAGTATTGGTACTGTAGATAGAGTGTCGAACAACAAAATAAGACCATAAGATTCAGGAACAGAATTAGGCTATTCAGTCCAATGAGTTTGCTTTGCTATTTGATCATGGCTGATATGTTTCTTAACCCCATTCTCCTGCCTTCTCCCCATAACCATTGATAAAATTATATTGAACATTACAAAGTTGATTGGTTAGCTGGAATTTTGTACATAATTGGGGCAACACTTTAGGAAGATTGCCAAAACCTCAGAGATGGTACAGAATAGTTTACCAGGATAATACTGGGGCTGAGGGATTTCAGTAACTTAGAGAGATGAGAGAAGTTCAGATTGTTTTCTTTTGGAGCAGAGCAGATTAACGAAAGATCTAATTTCAAATTTGGAAAAGAGCAGGAAGAAGCAGTTTCTTCAGGTTAGTGGTTCAGTAACCAAATGTGATAACTTTAAAATAATTGGCAAAAGAGGGGAACAGAGGAGAGATCACTTTAGAAGGGGGATGGTTCTGCTCTGGAGCATACTGTCTGCCAGCGTGATGGAGGCAGATTCCATGACAACCTTCAAAAGGCAATGTGAACAGAAATGGGTAAAGGTATGGGGTGACATTACACCGTGAGCTGGCACAGGTACAGTCCCAGATCCCAACTGTAGGACGCGGCAATATTTGGGAAATGGAAATATTATGCAGGGGTGTTTCAGCATAGTATTGATCTGCGTCGTAGCCCATTGCTTTTCGAAGTGTATTTCTAGAACTTGAAATAAAAGAAACCCATTGAAGCTATGCATTTAAGGATCCCCCCCCCCCCTCAAATTGGTTGTATTAAGATCCATGGAGAATATCTTTGAGAGATGTAAATAGCAATGCTGATCACGTGTTGGCGTGTAACGAGCTGAATCTGCTTCTGTGCTTCCTGGATCCTTTCGCTTCAACCATCAATAATCCTTCCGCCTCAGAAAAAACCCTGGCAGCAATTCCACATGCCACCTCTCGGCTGCACAGTCATTAAACCATAGAGCCCTCAGTGAGGGCTGCATCACTGATACCAACAGGTATATATTAAAAAAAACAAGTGAGGGCGTGATGCCCGCTCTCCAACCTGATTAAAAGAGGGAGACGCAGAGAGGTCTATTCCACTCCCCGAAGATCCTGATGGGACCTCTCTGTTTAAGCTCTGGTCTCTGTTTACGAGCCATGGCATTTGCTTCCTGCACGCTTTCTGCCAGCCTGCCTACAGTGAGCATCGGCGTGCCTGCTGACCATGGGGCTCAAGTCCAGGGATGTTGATGGCTCGGGCGAAGGCAAAAAGCTGCGGGTGGGATTCGCTACCGATCCCGAGCCCGGGGTGGTGGGATTCGGTCTGAACTCCGGGGCGGACCGGGACGGCGCTCTGCTGCTGGAAGGACGGAGCAAAGAAGACAGCAAACCGGGACCGAAGGAAGGTCTGAACCTCCTGAACAAACCTCTGAGCCACAATCAACTGAACAGAAGGAAAGCCACCTACAGAAAACTGCAGAACTTTATCTATGATGCGCTAGAGAGACCCGGAGGATGGGCACTGGTCTATCACGCCTTCGTGTGAGTACTGGTCGCATCCTCCTTTCGTATTTGCTGCTTGGTTTTATATGTACGCACAACAGGGCGATTTCCCTGTCCCCCCCATTTTGTTGCATTAAATTACCGCGTCTCGTTTGCCTAATCCTAAAATATTGACAATAAGGGTACCTTCATATTACTGCTTCAGTCAAACATAAGCCTTGATAGTCCTTCTTTACCGATGTTAATTTATCATGTATTTATTCCATTTATTTTTATTTGACTACTTGTTAATATTAGCTGACGGAAATTCCATTTCCACGCTCCGATGTCTTTCCCCTACGCTGTTGTTTGTTTTGTTACAGGATCCTGTACAATTTCAGGTAACGTAAGAAAGGGGAATGTATTTTGTTGCTGGACTTGTTGTGCCTTAATGCCAAAGAACCACACCTTACACGGAATTGAAGAAATTGGCGGTGCTTGCAGAGTCGTGTGGGTGTTAGAGTGGCTCGGGTCATTGTTATTGGTCAGCCTAACTCCTGAATTCCTTGTACCTCCCCTAGTTGTAGATGGAACCCGTTGCATGAAGCTGTAACGCAGGGATATCCAGTTAGACAGTGATATGCAATGACTGACTTTACCAGTTCCGAATGTAATTCTAAGTCTACAACCACACACGTAGAGTCATAGAGCCATACTGCATAGAAACAGGCTCTTCGGCCCGCCGTATCTATACCGACCAACAAACACTAATCCTATTTACCTGCAGTGGTCAACAGTCCATTCCAAAGGTGGGAAAGATTTTGTAGGGAAATTACATTTTAAAAATTAGCTGGTATTATTTTCAGATTTACTTTTTTTTGTTTTAAGTATCTACATTTAGCTGTTACTAGAAAACGATACATTTCCGCTTTCCAACAAGAATTGCTAATAGATGGTCTACAATGATTGATGGGAACTTTTGTCCGAAGTAAAGTTTACTCTCATTTGTTTCCAGTGGGAGAAATGTTCCTTCTCATCATTCAGATTCCATTAGCTAGTGAATGGAAAGAGTTGCCTTCCACACTTTGTTGAATATATGGATGTATGCAAATGTAGACTTTAATACAAATATAGTCATAATATTAGGTTTCTCAATAAAATATGAGAGAGTAATACATGCCAGTGAGATTAACAGTCTAGTAGGTAACAATCTAGTGATGTCCCGGACCACAAAATGAAGCTCGATAGTTGTGCATAGTCCGTAGAACAAGATTCAGTTATATCATCAATGAAGACGCTCATGAATAATTCAAGATAAAATCACTATATAAAATATAATGCATTTTATATTGATCATATTTAAGGTAGTGTTCTTAACATTCCTCCAATCATCTGTCATTGAAATTTATTACTCCACATTTCAATTTATTAATGATGTAAATTCAGAAAAAAATAGTGAAGATATGTAAAAGTGTTGGACCTAGGAGAATGCATTATTTTCATGAATAGAAAGTAAATCAGATTCATACAATGTTCTATTTCCACCAGATCATGTTCTGTGCACTTCACAAGAGGTCTCTCTAGTTAGCCTGTACCCCTATAAACTGGAATGTGACTTTGTATAATGTTTAAAGAAAAATTCTACCTAGTTACCTGTGTTTCAAAAGTTCCTCATTTTCTCATGTTCTTCGGACAGCAGATGAACAAATCATTCCCATGGTTTCTGATTACAGCTATAGAGTATGCATCCAGTTTCTTCACACTCAAATAGAGCTTGCAGTTAAAAATCAATACCTCAGAATTCACTTGATATCAGGACCTTGTTTTGATGAAATACCATAATGTTTTGTTAATTTCTTCAATTGTCTGACCATGTTACCTTGGTAGTAGCACTGTCACATTCACTATTGCTACTTAGAGTTTCTATGCACTAATTCCACATGTTTCATTGAGAGTAAGATTGCATCCAAGACATGTCTGTATAAATAACCCAGATCTACAGCTATATCATTCTATTTCAGTGCTCTAACCATTTTATTCACAAATTTGACAATCTTGCAGTTGATTCTGGATCGCTTATGTAAATTAAGGACTGCAGAGGTCTGAGCAATAAAAGCTGTAGCCTGACAAAAGAGATAACAAGGTGTAGAGCTGGATGAACACAGCAGGCCAAGCAGCATCAGAGGAGCAGGAAGGCTGATGTTTCAGGC